AGTTTGCCGAGGCCTAAACAGAAAACGGATATGATGCACATCGCCAGGACCTAGCTGGGTTAGCTGATGCTCTCGTCAGGCAGAAGGAAATCAACTCACGAAGGTCATCTGCTGCCATAGTTGCCAGTTTTTGAAGAATATGCCATTAGCCATTTTGGCGGATAATTCCAGAGAGAGCGAAAGGACTGATGATAGTATAGCTATCACTATCAGTTGTAGTGGTGAGTAGCAGGTACGTAAAGGTTTGCCAGCCTCCAGACAGGAATTGATGCAAACGCAAGTCGAGTTCCTCAAGTCCAGAGCCCTCAGGTTATTGCTTCTCGCGGATGGTGCATTCAGCGGTAAATTCCCGGTTGGTTGGCAAGCCACGCCTGCTGACGGCTGAGATGCAATTCACTCGAAGGCGAGGAAGGAGCAGTGAACAGGCAGGACAAGTCTCTGATGTCCACCAACAACGGAACTTTGCTTGCTGGATCTTCACGGCGTTATCAGAGCAAAGTCTCGGTCAACCGCTGGTGGTTATATCGAATTGAATCTCGATGACGTCCTCAGTCTCTCCACGGCCGTCTCAAAACCTCCACCCTCTTCTCGAAACAGACCCGGATTCCGAATCTCAGCGCTGCTCGCCCGTCTGTCGCCCCGTATCCAGCCAAGCGTCCAAGTTTCTTTTAGAGTTGGATCCGAATCCGGGAGGCCGCAAACTTTACGGGCCGCTGTGCAACAGGGGACGGCGTGTTTGTACCACGGCAAGCCTCCTGATCCGTTTCGCACAGCTCCAGCCCTGGGTGCGGGTAGCTGCAGTTTGCCAGTATGTTGGTTCTGGCTGTCCCTCCAACACACGATGACGACCCCCGACACTGACTCTGGAAATAGAATCCGTATGCTGCACGACCGGCAGTCACGAAGTCGAGGTACGGCAGCAAGTATGAGCTTCAACGCGAGTGACGAAGCGACCGAACATTCAGTCCCAACATCGTACAACAAGGGACACGATAGTTCGTTTAGTAAGGAGGTGTCTATCCAGACACACCACTTGGCGGTCAAACGGGCATAGCAGCCATTTTGTATGAGACTATCCATGGCACGGATAGCAGCAGGAATATCACACGCCCTGACCGCGAGAAGCCACAAATCAACGCCCTGCCAGCAGCATCGTGGGGCCACTTCTGGATTGCTATTATCCAACCGTGTCTGGATGACTTCTTTCGGTCTAGAATAGACGCACACCAGGGAAGCGGGGACGTGCCTAGCAGCAGCGAGAGGTCCAGTTCGCCAGGCTAAAGCGTCGATATGACAGCAATGTCGGCCGAGTAATAGACCACACGGCCAGACCGCAGAGATCTGATATTGCAGTTGGAACCCTACTCGACGAAAAAACCAGGCTCATGGTAGTTCTGAAGACAGTCACTTAACGTCTCCTGGCCAGGGGTAAGTGCCGTGCATACGTGAGCACTGGGGTGACGTGATGACGGCGTCTTCCCCACAAAGAACGAATATATTGCGCCGAGCCCAGACTCCGGCAAAAGCAATAAACTCCCGAGCAAAACATCGCAGGCCCTCTATATTGACTTACCACCTTGATCCGCCAGGCGGGCATTCATCCATATTGAGCTGGACCTTCGAGATCCATATGGTCTGGGGCACGATATAAACATCGGCAGAAAATTTTCGGTCTGTGGGAGCACATCCGTCCAAATCGACGATGGCAGGTCACACGGGCGGAAGCGACCTTATTGCTTCGATCACGACTGACGGGATCAGCGCGTACCTGAACACGGACCCGAACACGGAGTTTGTGTTCGCGGAGAAAAGGAACAGAAGCATCTTCCTTTCTAGAAGCTCGGAACTGAGTTTGCCAAAGCAAGCTGTGGAACAGACGTTGGAGAGACATTGAATTAGCGCTACCGAAGATTTGGCAACGGCCGCTGCACCGCCCAGACTCGATAAGGTATAGCCTCTGAGCGGAGGATCTTCAGGGGAGCATCTGCCGCTCAAGCCCCCTGTTCGTATCGTCGATGTAACGCTAACGAAAACCCGTCGAACGACAACTGAGCGTGCTTCCTAACGACAGAGTCCATGACGGTACAAGATCGTTTACGAGTATGAGGCGAGGGGCGACGGACCCTGTGCGAGAAGCCAAGCTCTAACATACATCACGAGACACCTTTATCATCCGAAGCACTTGTCCTCGAAACCCGCACACCTCCTAATGGATCCAAGCTTCAGCCCGGCGACATGATCTGCCGTTTCTATGATCGCACATATGAAGATACGAGCTATCAGTCATGCAAGGAGCTAGCCAACAACCGGGCTCTTACATCGAGAAGTTCTTCTTTCTGAATCCTCTCCTGCTACCCGACTGCTCGAACATCGAGCCGAATACGCTGTACTGCGGTGGCAGATTGTACGCTTAACAAGACCACCCGTTCTTCCATATCCAAAGTCGGCATTCGGGAGGAATACCACGCTGGCATATGTTGAGCGAGTGCTTACGTATGCCATGCTCCGTGACAATATGCTTCGATGGAGCTCAGTCGTAACTGAGTTTACCCAGCGTTGGACTTCACGTCATCGGTTCTATGAGTAAGGACGGGTATTCTAGATCGTCTCTCGCTACTATCCATGTTGGTCTCTTAGTACGTATCTGTTCTCCTCATTGTCATTCTCATATCGTGACCTGCCTTCAACGTTGTCCGCAGAGATTCGCGAAGTCGTGCATAATTACAACCATCGGTGACAGCAAATTAGGGGACATATAGCTGCTCCTCGGCATCACGGTCTCTGCGCTACGCAGAGCTAGAAAATGAAGACCGCTTTCACAGCTAAGACCAATGCAACGACCACGAGAGCAGTTACAAGCATAAGAAGGTATGAGTCGGATATGAGTCCGCTCGTGGGTTGGTAAACATGTAACCGTACTCTGGCAGCCTCAAACAGGTAGGGGCGCAAAACAATACAGCTTGTAGCTGTACAGCTCATGTTCCACGACCATCTTCACATCGATTGCGAGTCCGGCTTCTACTCGATGTCCTGTCCTTCTATAGGAGCATCTTCATCAGACGAGCACATCCGGCAGCCATCACACTCTCCGCCGCCCTCTATTCTAAACCAAAATAGATCAGTTCCCCAGCTGCGCCGCCCTCCTAACCATCCACTCCCCAGCAGAGTACACCTTCCCCTCGTCAACCTGCTTCTGAAACTTGCCCGCGACTTTGACCTGCGTCCCATCATCAAACTTCGGCAGCGGCTTCATCAGCGCGTCATTATGCGGCCTCACAAAATACACCACACTATACCGGTCATGCCGCCCCTGCTCCCCCGGCGCCGGCACGACGCGATGCTTCGCCGACTTGAGCCGCCCATTTGTGAACGTAACCATAGCGTCACCTAACTCCCCGTCAGCACATCACACACCTCCCACAACCGCACAGAAGGGGGCTAGGCAAACACAAAACATACCAAGATTAACAACAGCATGTCCCTCAACAGGCACAACCCACTCCCACCCCCCCGTCCTCCCCTCAATCTGCAGTCCCCCCAGCCAATTAAACAGCACCGTCACGCTCCCAAAATCCGTATGGCTCGGCAGTCCCACGGCACCCTCGTCCTGCACGGCCTTCTTCCTCGTGAGCCTCACATGATCCCCGCTCGGCATGTCGAATCGATTCAGCCCCTCCAGCTCCCCTTGCCCCAAACCCATCTCCCTCTCCAGCGCCGCACAGACGACCATGCCCATCCCGTGCGCGCCCCGCATGAAATCGGCGAATAGAGGCTTCTCGCGGGTGATGACGTCCGGGTACGGCCGGGACGGCACGACGTCGAGCATGTGGTCCTTCCCCACGTTCCAGAACTCGGTGCTGTCGGGTCTTTGGGTCAAGTCCGTCTGCTTGACTGTGCCGGCGGCCTTGTAGCCGAAGAGGCTGACGCCTTTGTGCAGGTGGAAGGCGTTCTTTTCTTCTAACGACGCATCAAAAGACCGTTTTGCTAGAGAGAGGAGTTGTTCGGACTCTGATAGGAGAGTGCGCCCGACGTCTGAGTCGCGCAGGTCGAGGTAGAAGAAGCCGTAGGTCTGCGCGGCGGCCAGGACGGCCGCGCTCGCGGCGGGGGAGGCGGAGAGGAGGGCGGCGGAGGAGATGCGGGCTATGGGCGCGTGGGGGAGGGTGGTTGGGAAGGGGGGGAGGGAGGAGAGGGAGGAGGAGACTGGGGAGGTTGAGTGAGGCATGGTGAATGCAGCTCGTAGGTCCTTGTTTGGTGTCAGGTTGGTAGAGGGCGCATGTAGGTCTGTCTGGCTTGCTGTGCAAGACAGACGTGAATGTGATATACGCTGATTAGACGAGATTCTGTTGATCAGAGGTAGGCACAGCTTCGAGTAAACTTAAAGTCACCCGCGTCTCCGAGTCGTTTCTCTATTTGTAGTCTCCGTGTCTTCCAGTGTTTGCTCAATGCGGCGAGTATGTGTTGATCAAGGTTCAACATATGACCCCTTCCCCGCACTCACCTCCTCCTTTGACGCATCTCGCCCACGCCGGCAGTCGAATAGTGCAAACGGACACTAGACACACGAACGGGTGTATCACGGATTTTGTCGGTTATCGTGATCTGATGTAATGGTATGCAGGTCATGCATCCTAGGTTGGGTGTTCATGCTGTCCTCCTATAAGATAACCGCGCTCCAGACTCGCGACGTTCTGCATAACGCTCTCGGTACTTCTTTTTCAGCCGGTGTCAGACGGATGACTACGATGCTCTGGTTCGCGCCAGAATATCAGCTTTCTTTCAGGCAGTACATGGTAGACTGCCTTAAGCTGCTCTCCCCCTGAGGTGCAGAGGCGTGGATGCCTTGCCATACCGGTGCTAAGAGCAAACACTTTGCCTGGACACCGTAAATAGTTATGGTCAAATGGTAAAAAGCCAATGATGATCTGCTCCTTGCTGCTCTGAACCATTCATGTCAAACATCACGTAGAATGAGATACAAAACAGGAACATAGAAGCAAAAGTGATTCGACCCAGGCTTGAACTGGGGACCTTCAGTGTGTTAGACTGACGTGATAAACCAACTACACCATCGAACCGCACACCAGCCGTTGAGCTGCTGATGCTACGTCCAGGGCCCATGGAGAACCATAAACCGCGAAGCAAGCCAAGTGGAGATGGATATCTCTCACGAGTCATGGTGGCAGGGAGACCCATGCCGCAGCAGGTAGTAGGGTGAGAGGCTAAACGGCCCACCTCCTGATTGTTAGGATTCTCGGTCAGGGACATACCTGGTAGATCTGAAGGCGAATGCAAGTCCTGGTTGTCGAAGGAGTCTGTAATCATCACAACCGTGATCCAAGGAAGCGCGAGATGATGGATACTGATAAAGCCATTCTCGGTACCGCTATATATGAGACTGCCAAGTCTAGCAGGCTGTCCATCTATGTCAAGTCCCCGCCAACTATCCCTCGAACACCCCGGACGGGGGCCAGGCGATGTATAAACCGATGAAGTCTGCTCCTTGTCCTTGTCCAAGACTGCTCATAGTTCGACGTCCACGCCTGCAGACCACGAAACGAGAAAATCATCCTGCGTCAAAAGCGTAAATCAATGCAACCCGAAGACATTACCTCCCAGACATACGTAGCCATAAAGGAAACCGTTTTGAGCGTCAAAGTCCGAGCAAGAACTCCTATATCCCTGTAGGTGTAGCAACGCCCGTGCAAAAGTGTGATAAAAAGGCTCCTCGGCCAAGTGAAAGAAGCGAAGCGAAATCAAAAAGAGGGGGGGAGGTAAGAAACGATCTCTTACTGTGCCAGTCCATATCCACAATGCCTCAACCCAACCGTACGGGATGGCATGTATATGCCCGTCGCCGTTCCAAAAACGCCGTATCCAGTCTGAGTGTAAAAACAGCAACAAAGTGCAGATCGTGGTCGCTGGATGTTGCCCACTACCGAATATCCAGCTGGAACGGCTTGAAGCGGCCGCCTATGGTCGCGCATCGGGGACACTTCCTGCGAGCTCCTTGTTCGCCCATGAGAACGTCGACGCACGCCTGGCAAAGGCCGCAGACACACTCGGTACAAGCATATGACTCTCTGAGAAGCGACACGCCTTGACACGCAGCGCAGTAGATCTGCGTGTTCTGCGACGAGAAGCTCGGCGACGAATCTGACAGTCCACGCGACTCGATGTGGAAGTTCTCGCCGCTCCCACCGCTCTCCACGGATGGAAACGGGTCAGGCGCCTCCTGGTTGTAAGATGGCGGCGTGAGGGCTTGTTGAAGAGGCGATGCTTGGTAGCTCTGGAAGCTATGCTGAGGAAATGGCGGCATTGAACCTCGTTGGATCGAGACGGGCGATTGCGGAACCTGAGGAGTCAGGCCGCTGTGGTCGTAGACTTGAGGGGAGAAGAGACGTACAGGAGTCCTGTCCTCATCTATATCTTCGGTTGCCGAAGCAGCTGCATCGATAAGATCTTCCCAGCGTTTCCCGAAGTCCACTCCCGCAGGCTCCGCAGACAGGGCCTTCCTATCAGCTCCACCCGGCCTCAGATAGTCGGGTCCATCGTTCTGTAGCCGTCGAAGCCAGTCGGCGGCAGCTCCCTTTGACTTCTTTCGCTGATGGCTCCTCTTCGTCACCGATTGCTTCCGCGGACGATTCGGCGCGATGCCTCTGTGTATCGGCGGCAGGGTAGACGACCTCCCCGGAGGTGAATTGGCAAGGATTGATGGGAGCATCTCTCGTGGCCTACCTCCTTCGTAGTTCGGGAAGCTGGTGATGTCATTATTATTCAGATTGAGAGGCGGCAGCTCGATCGAAGATCGAGCGAAACGGCCACCTTCAGTGTCCGAATGCCAATCCTGCAATGCGGAACTGGTCAGCTCTGTGGGGAAAAGAAACTGCCACGAGCCGGTATCAGGGCTAAAGCCTACAGGTTCAGAGTCCCATGTGGACTCTGTCTTGTGATTGTGAAGCTGCGCAAGTGCTGCGGCAGCGGGAAGTAGAGAACCGCCTGGATAGTCATCCAGACCACGAGGTGTTCCCGGGTTGCTCGATTCGTCAAGGTGGTAGCCGTGTGACAGACCCTTTGTCTGCCCGAGGTGCTGCGAGCCCGAGTTCTGCTGCGGCTGCGGTCGGTCGCTTGGCGCGGTAGTGATCATCAGAAGGAAGCTTTCTTCGGTCGCCGGCAGCTTCGAGATGTAGTGTTCCGGATGAGCGCGACGGATGTGCTCTTGCATCGAGCGATACCGCTTCTCCTGTCATTGAGAAGAATTGTCAGCATGGCAAATACGGTGATAGAGCTATGAACCCCTCATCCGAAGCTGACGAGAGCTCGCGCCGGGTCGCCTGGGACTACTCACGCCGATGCAGCGCTTCCTACAGCTAGAGCCATCTTGGTTGTGCAAGGGACACACGACTTCGTTATTTGTGTCGGTGATCGAGAACGACGAAGTGAGAGCGGAAGACCTGGGCGGCATCTTGGAAACCCCACCATGCGCTGTTATCGCGGATGGGCTGCGGCGGGGATGTTGAGACGATAGCTGTTGATAAGGATATCGGACTGTCGTGGATGTTCAATTGACGAAGCTCGTGATAGTCTAGCTTTCGCATCTGAGTTTGCGAAGCAGAGCTTAATTTTCAGCTCGGCCGATTGATCGTGGGCAGCTTCCTAGCTCCTCAAGCAGGTGTAACAAGAGGTGTTTCGAAAGGATGTGTGGGTGGTGGTTGAAAGTCGGGCAAGGGAGCTGGGGAGGGGACAAGATTGGGCGGTGCTTGGATAAAGGGAGAATGAGGGGGGGAAAAGGAACCAAGCTTTGGCCGGAGCTTGGGGAGGTGAAAATTAGCAGGAGGCAAGTCAGGTAAGGTAGCAGCTAGACTAATAAGGCTCAAGGATCAACCGAAACCAGAAGTGGTGGTCAGAGTCCACACCCGCGCTGCTGGTGTGTGCTGTGTGCTGTGTAAGTACATGCCCAGTATGCCTTACCCCGGAGAGTCATGGGGCGCTCATGATGGTACCGGAACAGCGGCATCAGCTTCGACATGTGCCCAGCAACTGGGTACCTTACTTCCCAAGATAGCAGCGGTCGAGTACATTGACAGGGAGACGCCGACATCATAAAGGGTCACTGCACCATTATGCATAAAAAACCGAAAGGCGTGGGCTGCAGACGCTCGCATTGTTTCCGTGGCGTCACCAGCGAGAGTGGCAGCGTACCTGCAAGCTTCGGGAGTCGATCAATGGCGCAAGAGGGTAGCAAAGAGCAATGCCGTCGATTCTATTCGTTCAGGTTTGCTGATGCTCCCGTCTCAGTCTAGGTAGCTGACTGTCCAGACTGCCCTGTTCAGCTTGTCCAACATCTGCTGCCACAAAGACGTACCGTCCTACCGTCTTCCAAAGCTGGATAAGGTACACTGGCCGTGGGTAAGGCAGCGTCAGCTATCCGGATTCTGACTCGCTCGAGAATTGGACGGAGACTCGCGCCGGATGAAGGAGGTGGGTCACTAGCCTGAAGCCGTCAATCCCAAGCTCCTGATTGGCGGCACAGCTTCATGCAGCTTCGGCGGGGGCCCTGGAAGCTCCAGAGGTGAACTCGACAAGGAGGAAGGAGCCCCCATTTCTTGATAAAGTCCCCTTCCCCGCTGATGATAGAGGAGCTACCTTACCGACTACCTTACCTCTACTGACTGGCACACATGGGCAGGCCCTGCTGTGGGGGTGGAAATAAATATTTACCTTATGCTTGATGGCCGCATTCCATCTGCCGTCCTGCAGACTCTTAATGTGCAAGAGATCCAGTGAGAAAAGCCAACAGGTCCGGACTGGGTGCCGCCTGCCGAGGAGGACGGTAATGCCGAGTTCAAGATCGAGGGTCTTTACTGTGGGGCGGAGCTCAGGTGGGGCAGAGCGTCATTCGTCATTCTACATGTGAAGACGAGGCACTGTGGAATTGAAGCTCGACGAGATCTTGGCTTCTAGAAGTGAGTCGAGACGCGCAGTTTGGAATGTCCACAGTGGTAAATCTGGACCATTTCAATCCTACGAAATGGTATCTTATCTGGCAAGCAAGAATCACGGAAGGAGAGGCTTGGAAGTTGCGACTTGCGAGGCTCACGTCGCCCCTGCCATTCTCAAGTTCTTCCAAGGTCGCTCGGATCGAAGCCACGCTTGAGATTTCTCCAAAGGTATTATAATGAGGAAGAACTTAACGTGAGAGTGTTGAATGAATCGACTTTGAGGGCTGCCTGTTCGATCGAATGCATTTGCCACCGGATATCGCAAGCTTTACACCTGCTGTAGGATTACGCATGTTACTACAACCCGAGCTCTTCGGTATGAACAAATGTGTGGAATGGCTTCTTGGACGCGGTTATCAACACCTAAAACACCTATGTCTCTGCGCTAACCGACCACAGTGCTTACACTGCGGACTCAAGTGCTGCTTTTCTCTGCAATCTGATCAGCGCATACAGCCAAGGCCTCAATGACTGGTCTCAGGGATAGGTCGTCAAATGAGCCTCTTGTTGCTATATATGCCAGTCTGAACTGACGAGTTTTCGCCCGAGAGCCAAGCTTGGTAGACGGAAATGGCAGCGGAGATCCTCTGGCGTCGTCAGTATCGGCATTTCGTCTGTCCAGCAAATATACGCGCCTTGGCCTTTTAGTGTTTTCTGTCAGCATGAGATACCATGACTCGCCTTCTTGGGTCTTCCTCACAGTTTTCTCTTCTCGACAGGAAGCGAGAGGACATCAATGATTCAACATCTTCCAGTTCGCAACGAACTGCCGCTGAAGTCCCAGGGCTAGTGCCGACCTTAGTCGAGCAAGCCACAAGCCACAGCTCTCTTCGACTTGCTCCGTCTCGCCTTGACTTGCCCGGAGTCTCGACATCCCTGCCAAAGCCATGCACCATGCCTCGCATCGTTCGCGTCAACCTTCCCTCCGGCTTTTTTCTTCACAGCGAGTCCATATCAACTGGGGCCGTGGACATGGTCCTACAGCGCTTGACAAGGTCAGCGTGTCTTGTAGTCGACCATTCAGAACTCAACATGCCTCTCCATCGTCTCTTTCCACTCGTCATATCTCACGAGCA